TTTTTCATAATGTTCGTACACAGTTTCATACTTGGATTTAAAAACCCCATTTAAAATATAAACCATATATACAGGCAATCCATATATATATCTGCAAATCGTTGTCGGGTGATATTTTCGCATTTTCCGTTTTGAAATCGTTTGAAATGTCCTGTAAATCGTTCGGTTTTAATTTTTTCGAGCATGAGCAAATCGTTTTGTCACCCTGTTCTGGAAATCGAAATCGTTAAAATTTTCTCGTTTTATATTCTTCAACTTAAATGATAGCGGTTTGGAAGTCTAATACACGTTTTGTTGAAACAATATTTAAAACAATGTAAGTCCTTACTCCAATTAGCTGCTTATGTGTAAATTTAAGTTGTTATTTAAAAACTTTTAGGGGAAAACAAAAACTCCAAGCTAGAGCTAATTTTAGTTCAATTCATGGACAGAGTTGCTGTTGAAGAAAAGTGGAAGGAACTGACCACATTGCTGAATGCAGAAGGGCCTCCCCAGAAGTACGTTAATGGATGGAAAAAAGCAAGCTATATTTAATCAAGTATTAAAATGAATTTATTTTGAGCTGTTTTTTTCTAGATATGGTCTGACTGGAAGGGCTGTATCCGTAAAAAGGTTGCCCATAACAATTTGGAATCGAGGACAACAGGAGGTGGCCCCTTCAATAAACATGTATTAACGCCCAACGAAGAATGTGTGGCCAGAACTTGCGGAATTTTCGCGGCTGTGAAGGGCATTAATCATTCCAGAAGTTTTGGAGCCGAAGAAAGCTGCATCGCCAGTGAGTCGGAGGAAGAACGTCCCCAAACAAGTAGGGAAGCCGTGGCTACCCCGTGAGCAGCAAAAAGGCCACGAGCCTCCGAAACACAAGACTGCCTCCAGACATGCATGACAACACGCATGCATTCAACCACGTTGGATGAGTTTGCAAAAGCCACCAAAAATTTGCAAAATCGCACGAAGGGGAAAGGGACGATATTCGACGACTTTGTCGTACTGTTGAAAAGCAAAATGAGTTGATGGCAGAGCAAAATCGGTTGAAAGCGCAAAGTTTGGAGGAAAAAAGAACGCATCACATCAGAATGGAGCAGTTGCAACATGAAAAAGTTAGAATAAAAATGAAAATGCTT